TTCTGTGATTCTATAAGAGAGCATGCAGACAAAAAGAAGTGAGAGGGAGGTTCTGAGAGATTCACTCCATACCTTTCTGCAAATAGTAGGAATTTTTAAATTACAGAGATTTTCTTGTACCAAGGCAAATCTATTTCATCTGCCCTCTGCCCCAACACATGTACACACATGCATAAATCATTTTCTTGTGTCCAGCATTGTTCCTCTCTCCCTCCCACCTCCTGTTTGCACTCTCAGACTCATTTCAACTACTTCAGCCTTGCAGAAGTCTCTAGTGCAGCAAGGAGCATCTGGCAGTGCTCAGGCTTTGCTGCCACTGTCCTGTGCACTACACACATCACTCTCTTGCCTTACATTCTTTTTTTAATTTTTTCTTTTGAATTACAAGATCTGTTTCTCTATGTTTCCTTCATTTGGCAGAACTGTTTAGCGAATGCTACCACAACAGTGAGGAGAGAGCATTTGCTCTGTTGGTGAGGAAAAATCAGTACTGGAGCAAAACCACCTGCCTTCAGCTGGCTACAGAAGCAGATGCAAAGTCTTTCTTTGCGCATGACGGTGTCCAGGTAAGTTTTACAGACCCTTCTCTCACCACCTCTACCCGCAGGGCCTTTAAGTGTGATGTTGGACACAGAAGAGGATAGCACAGCAACGGAACAACCCTGTGAAATGTATTCCCCCAAGAGACATTCTTTGGAGGGGACTCTTCCCGCTCCCTGGTGCCACACAAAGAGGATGTTATACTGCATCCTTGACAAAGCAATACAATTCCCCCTTTTCCCCTCCCTTTCATCCAGTTGGCCTGCAGACCAGTGCACTGAGGAGAATGTTTAGCCCTTATTCCATCCTCTGCTTATTCTTCCTTCCTTGCTCACAGAGAAGCATCAGGAAAGCACTTTAAATCTGCCTGAGGCATAATGAAGCTGCTCCAAGATGTGAGGTAACTCCTTGTTCAAATTCAAGGAAGAACTCACTGATAAAAGTTAAATCAAATTACTATTTAGCTTTGCCCTCACAACCCGAGTTCTCTCCACAAGCTAAATTAAGAGCGATGGTGCTTTTAGCTCCCAGTGCCCGACTTGCACTTTCCAAGTACTACAGATGTTGCTTAATTCCACTTGACTGGCTGTTCTTTCTGCTGTCCTCATCATAACTCTTTGCATACTCAACAACATCTGCAGAAGGACGTGCAGAGCACCTGTTTGCTCTGAAGGTGTGCCTGCTCTGAAGGTTTCCAGAGCATTCACTGACTTAGGAGCCACAGAACGTAGGCACACTTCATCTGCATGTATATCTTTGTGATGTTAAAGCCATCTCTTGTTTTCTTGACTTTCAGGCCTTCCTGACAAAAATATGGTGGGGAGACATGTCTACAAGCACACAGATCCTGAAGTTAATCTGTGGATTCTGGTGTCCTTTCCTAATCTACACAAATTTCATAGCATTCAGGTACAAACATAACTATGCGTGTGCAAAAGGTAAGTAAGGGATGAAAAAAAAGCCATAAAAAAATATCCAGACTCAAAATTTCTCATCTAAAACCAGTAATATCGCCTCAGTGTCAACAGAAGGACTGCACCACTATTAACCAAATCAGTTTTCTATAGGACCGAGCGTATCCGAGTGTGATACCGAGTGTGTCCTGTGCTAGTACCTCTTCTAATGCTTAAAAGGTCAGTGCCACAGTTTCACATAGATCACTTCTACTTTGCACAGTCCACAGAAAAGCCTGTTGGAATTCTGTCAACTCCAGATTCTACGCAGTAACGTGTAGAATATCTCCAGCTGCAGCACCACCTATTTCTAGAGATGCCTGGTTCAAACCTCAGTATCTAGAAAAACAGCCATCCTAAAGCAGTATTATCAGCCACCAGCCTTGATAACCATAAGTCAAGCTTAAAAACACAGGACTGACATGAAATCAATTAAGGTTTTCAAATTCAATGTCTTACAAGATCTCTCTGTTAGTCTTCTGCAGGCATATCTTCAAATTTCGTAAGTTTTCAGCTTTTTGTCACAGTGAAGATGGCTAGACTCTTAGGTTTTCTATTAAAAAAAAAAAAAAGGAAAAAAAAGGCAGCCAAAACGCTTAGGCAGTCATAAGAATCCAGGAACCCAGACTTTAAGAAAACCTCCTAATACTGGGAGAATCATACAAATCATCAGAACTGGCATTATGGAATGACATGCTGTTATGAATTATACATTTCTTAACTGTGAAACTACTTAAAAAGCAAGAGGAAAACTTGTTTGGCATGGCTGACTTAAGACTTTCTTTCTGCCAGTATCCCTAAAGATTACCTTCTTGTCATAGTGACTGCCAGATTCACAAATTCAAATAATTTAGTGTGGAATTTTGGCAAAGTTATCATGGAAAGGTTTAAATTATGATTCATAATCAAAGTAAGCCTTTGCAAATTTGTTCTCATGAGGAAATTTTTTGCCTCCTTTCCCTGGAAATGCAAGAGTTGACACCATATTCCCTAATGCTTCTGGCATTTCCTTGTTTCATTGCTACTAAGAGTAACCAGGAATGGAGCATTGGGGCATTGTCTTCTAGAACTGAGGGGTTTATTTCTGCTCAAATCCAAAGTAATTTGAGGAAGCTGAGGACCCTGGTCCATTTTTAAGAAACATGCCAAGTATCACTTCTCTGAATCTTATGGATGACTTAATGCTTCTCCTTACACATAAACAGACTTTGCAGAGGTAAGGATTATGCATTATTTGATTGCTTCTCAGTGGAGCAAGTCCCAAGAGAAGTACAAGCTAGCAGTTCTTTATAAATGCCAATTTAGTAGTGAAGAATTGCTAACAATCATCTTTCAACTAATGAGTTTATTTCCTTACAGTGAGGAAAAACAATCAAAGAACGAGCCAGAGCCATTTAGAGAGCTGGACAGTTTAGATACAGAGAGGACGCTCTTTTTTTCCAAAGAAGAAGATCGGTAAGTTTAAAACCATTAGTTAATACAACTTTCATGACAACAATCAAAGAGCAGGACAGTTCTCGTGGATTAGTGACCAGCTAATGATCTATGGAGCAGCTGAAGGACCAAGAAAGTCATTACTCCTCAGAAAGTGCTGTGCCCTCTGATTACTGCTGGTGTTGCTCTCTAAAAGGAATATGGAAAATAAACAAGGATATATCACTATTTTAAGGAGACATGACTTTACTTGTTCTGAGCAGGTAATTTCTACAGAGCAAGGAATCTGCTTAATCCCTGGGGAATCAGAAAGCATTTCCTAAGATTCCCTTCAGCTCATGATGGCTGATAGGCATTGGGTTTGGGAACTAAGCCCCTATCAGATTACTGAGCTAAGCAGAAAGAAGGTTCTCGGCAAAACCTGACATTATTTGAGCGCATCACTACATACTTTCTCACAAAGGCAGCAACAGAAGTACTTGCAAACATCAGTACCTGGGAATTTTGTATTGTCAGCTTCCCACCGTACTAATGCTCTTCATTTATATTTTAAAACATGGGCCCTGAGGAACCTGAAGTACAACAAACTTAGGAGTTAAAGGGAGCATTACACAAATGGGTAACTGAGCACAAAGATTTTTGTCGCTTGCTCCTGGTCATTCATAGCTCCACAATTCAGAACTTCTGAATCCCACCCTATACCTCTGCCACACACTCATCACCAAAACGCGGGAGGCCACAAGGACTTAAGTCAGGATAGGAAGACTTCCGATTCGCACAAAGTCCTCTTGATGGCTAAATAGTGCTACTATTTAAACCGCTCAGTACAGGCCACTTGTATTAACCATGTGCTTTTCAATGATTTAACGAGAACTTCAGAAATATGTGAACAACAGTAGCAAGGAAGTGTCACCCGCAGTATGAAGTGCTGCACCAAGTCAGAGCTGTTGGGTTCTATTTTTATCTCTGGCATTTAACTTCTGGAATACTGGAGAAAATCGTTAGTTCTTCCCTCTCCATCCCTAACCTACAATATCAGTGTAAAAGCATCTGCCTCTTGGGAGCTACTCGTAAGCAAGATCATAAAGCATTTCCATATCCTCAATGAGGTGTGGTTTGGTCATTACATTGTGCATTCCACTTGCTATTATCTTAGCAATTTATTTTAACAAAAAGGCTCTCTCCCTCCCAGATCTATTTCAGCAGCTTAAAACTGCAATTATCTGTTTATGATATTAGCCTGTTACCATGGGAATGTATCTTATGATGTCATAAATTGAGAGGCAGTACAGAATCAGGCACATAGAAAAGACTGGCTGTGAGGAGAAACTTTTCCTTGTAACAAATGTATTTAATAATTAGCAAGAATGTCAGGGGAAATTAAAAACCAGTGAAGATCATTGTTTATTTTTTGTGAGGTGAAATTGAAAAGGTACCCTAGCGTACACATCCTTTGTTAGAGATCACACCTCTCAGTCAGAATCACAAAATTAAAGATCCAATAACATCCCCAGCTTACCCAGGGGAGAAATTTATGTGGAAACAAAACCTCACGCTGGGATCAGATTGCTATCAAATACAGGGAACTTGCATTTTCTGCCCAGGACATTTTCCATTGCCAATAGATAGCACTTCATGTTCCAAAACACAGCAAAAACTACTGTAGGTGTCCAGGTCAAATTTCCCTTCACTTACCAAGATACTTGCACAATTCCACAATAGTTAAAGACTACCTTAATAAATAATTTATGAGGTCAACTTTTTTTGCTAAAAGGCTTTTGTATTACTTTTTCTGCAATTTAATTTAATCATAAAGGGCAAGATGCCAGTTCTTACAGTTGTGTAGAGGACTAAAGTATTCCTTCCGTAGTTCTCTCTGACTTCAGCAAGGATAGTCAAGAAACACATACTTAGTATGATCTAGCACTTCTGAGACTGGGTCAAAAAAAAAAGCATTGTTTAAAGTCACGGCAACAACAAGAACTTCTGCATGCAAACACTGCCATAAATTTTTAGAGACAAAATAATTAAGAACTGACTCACAAACTACATTGGCCATTTGCTTTTCTTTCCCATTATTTAGGGCAATGAACAGCAATTAGCCCACTTCCCCCTCTCCTTCTGTATTTGCACACTGTTTGTACTACACACAGGAACACAACGAAGTTACAAATCGAATTAACGCAACAAAACTGAAATAACAAGAATATGCATTTAAGTCTGATGTGACTTTGTTTTTCAAACCCTTCTTTTTGGCTTGAAATATTTCTGCTATGTTAATGTGATTGCTCGAACTTCCACAGCCTTCCTCCTTGCCACCCAGAGCATCTGCCTGTTATTATCTTACAAGAAGCTTTATATAGAATAATACTGAGCCTGTTCCCATGAACTAATTTTAGGAAATCGTCACCAAGCCTGTACTGTTTTGTTTTGCAGAGGAAATGGTAAATTGGAAAAGCAGAACCCTTCTGAAAACACAGCGTGGGCGACATTCATGTTTACTCGGTGGAGAAAATTCTGGAGTGCCCCTGTAACTGTATTTGTGGGGAATGTTATAATGTACTTTGCTTTTCTTTTTCTATTTACTTATGTCCTTTTACTGGACTTTAAACCCCCACCTGAGGGCCCATCTGCTAAAGAAATTATACTTTACTTCTGGGTTTTTACCCTGGTTTTGGAAGAAATCCGGCAGGTCAGTAACCTACATCATCTTAGTAATAACACAGTAAAATTTGAAGCAGTATTTTGAATAGATTTGCATTCTGTGTAACTGTACAGGATTGAAGATTTCAAGCGTCAGGTGCAGTTTTAAACAGAAGAGCAATACAGAACTTACCTCATCCCAAACACCCCACCTCTGTCTCCAAGAGCAAGCTCTTCCTCTACCGTCTAAACCTGTAGCTCCACCTCTGTTTTTCCGTCCAGCTCCAGCTGTAGCCAAGTCAATTGGGCTGCCAAGATTCAGGTGCCCTTCACTTTGCAAAGTATCTGATTTCACTCCCCAGAAGCAGGTCCCCCCCAATAATGTAATTTGGAAATTATATTCTACACCTGGAAACACAGCAGACAACTCTACATCCTTTTAAGAGATTCTTCTCCACTGGGGACTGTTTAAAACAACTAATTAATTCAGATTATTTGTTTTTCCTAGAATACTTCTCAACTCAAAACATTAGCAGATCTCTTTTTGGTTTGCTTTTCTTAAGACAAACAAACAAACAAAAACTTCTCTATTATTCTCCCAGTTACTGGTTTTGGAATGTCCTCAGCTTAACAACCGAAATAACGTGTGAACAATGGTGCTAGTGTGTGGCAAACTGTGGGTGCATAAAGCTGTCCTCTTTAGACACAAAAGCGGTTATAAACAATTCCTCTGGAAGAACAAGTAGGTGTACCCTACTCTCCATTGCTTATTTAAGCACTAGGGACGGTGAATGTAAACCCAGTTTGTTACAATTTATTTGAAATTATGCAGCAAGGCCATAACCAGAGGAGGACACGGAAAATATTTGGATCAAAGAACATTCCATTATAATCCCGGAAAACATGAAGAGTGCCAGGCTAAAACCCAGTTAAGAAACCCAACTCTTTGCCTAGATAATCAAACGGGCTCTCACTGACAGCTCCGGTACACAGATCCTCAATCTGTTCATGCTATTTAGACAGCAATGTCTAGAAACTGAACTTCGACTGGAAGTTGTATTGTTTAGCAGCCCAAATGCTGACAAAATCTTAAGTCAGGCCCCCAAAATTTGTAAGGCTAATATCACAAGAATAAAAAGATTTGTTTGTTTGTTTTTTTCATCCAAATTTTCTGTTTTAAGACAGTAAACCAAGCTTTTTTTTTCCTGTTACACTAGGAATTTGGTGGTGCTCTTTGCACTGAAAGAGAAAAAGGAAACAGGTGTTGTGTTAAAACTCACACTGAAATAGGAAACAGATCAATACCGATGATTATTTATCTTTTTCAGAGTTTCTATACAGATGAAGACACAAATTTAATTAAAAAATTTAAACTGTATGTGGAAGATAACTGGAATAAATGTGATATGGTGACCATCTTCCTCTTCATAATTGGGGTAACCTGCAGGTATATACCTGTTCCATGTGATGTGGTCAGCATCAGTAGCGGGAGCTCTGTGTGCCAACTGACAGGACAGTCTCATGCGCACATGCGGACAGGCTGTGACATTGACCTTTGCAAGCTTTGAGCCATGTTTCTGCAATAAAAGCCTCTAAAATTCTGTAGAATCATAGAAGTTGCTCCAGAGACCACAAAAAGACACAGTGGTACATTCAAACACATGTACAGAAAAGGTCTGCTTTTGGTTTTGGCAATCACTTTTACCCAATGTATTTATACATTTTTTTTTTTTTTTTTTTTTTAAAAATAAATCTCACTGAAGCCAAGACAGAGAATACAGTGCCCCTTCATCTTTCGGCTATTTCTCACCAATGTACAGACATCATGGTACATTCCTCTTACAGACTTATGCAACCACAGCCCTGAAGCACTTGCCTTTTCCTAACTAGGCTATGCCCAAAAACCGAGTGTAATATTTGAGAAAACGCTTCTCAGCAGAAGTTGCTGAGAGCTGACATTTCATTTCATGTGTTCTGCAGGATGCTGAACTCGACTTTTCAAGCTGGCCGTACAATACTTGCCATTGATTTTATGGTGTTTACACTTAGACTGATACATATTTTTGCAATTCACAAACAACTTGGACCAAAGATCATAATTGTGGAAAGGATGGTAAGTGTGCAGTCTCTCTCAGATAAGTACTTGTGCTTTCTAAAAAATGGAGAGTAGGAAATTTTCTCTTTACAAAGAAAATCAGTTTATAATCTATCTTTATTTTTGTATTTTTAAGGCTTGCCATTTTGCATACGTTCTCTTATTTATCATGAGTATTAGATGCAGTAAGTTTGAAATAGATACTTCCAAAGAGATCTGCAGTGTGTAATATGTTGGTCCCAATTTACTAATCCTTGTACCTTACCTATGCATTTATCCTTAGATCTAGCAAAAGAAGAGTAGAGTGTCTTTGACTTACTGCTATTTCTCCTACTTCATAAGCTGTGTGCATTCAGAGCAAAGGCCTCAGACAGAAGACGGGCCATTTACAGAGGGCAGGGCATTTACTGAATGACCCTGCTCTGCCTGGGGGAAATAGTTTATGTTATTTGCAAGAAGCACAGAAAAAAATCTGTAAAGAAGGATAATTGCAAGTTTCCTGCAGGAGTTACTCGTACTTTGTGGCTCCAAGTTACAATGAAACCATATTAGTACTTTGTGAGCATACGTTGGAAGATGTTGATAAAATATTTTTATTTATTACCATTCTCCTGCAGGAAAGGAGACGTTAAGACTACAGTTACTGTGCTTGGGTATGCGTTCATACGTTGAAGTAGCTTTTTATTTAGGCATGTTAATCCTGTAGGCCAATTAGCTCATGGTAACTGATTAATAGGAGTTCATCTAATTATGTGCTGTTTTAGAAACTACCAATATTTGATTTGTGATTCACAGGAGAGCTCAGTAAAAGCCCAACAGTCTAAACAAGCCCATACATTGAATAAACATAACTACCAAGCTATTTGGATTTGTCTACAAATGCAATAACTGGAACTCTAACATGACATTTGCTTGGAGTAGCAAAAGGGTAAATGGCAAATAAATATTTGTTCTTGAACATTATCTGGCTTACAGCATCAGCAGACTTTTACTGAAAGAGAACGAGTCAGATCTACAGCTCCCAACCCTTCCTTGCTGCATACCAGGCTAAACCAGGGCCTTGAACAAATATGGTGATGTGTCTACTATGTTGGCATCTGAAGTCATATGAGATAACACACAGATTAAGAAGGTGCAAATAAGAACATAAACAGGACCTTTCATCTCCCCCCATCCAAGCCAACACAGTGCCTTAGCTTTGGTAGTTCAATGTTGAACCTTACATCAAATGAAAGAACAGTGAAGTTACTTCAGCAAATGATACCTTCTTGAATAGTTCTGAAGTGGGTTCAGGCAAGATAATTTCCCTTGTTTAAACAGAGAAGCGATCCAAGACTGTCTCTTACTGACTTTCTTATTTTTAACCTTGCTACAGAGCTGCTGAAACAAGTCTGGTAGCTGCTAAAACGACAGTTCAGTGCCAGAACAATGCCCCTTCACAGGGAGACCGCAGATCAGAAGAAATATTTCCAGACTTGCCACTGCTTTCTCTTAGTTATGACACCATTATAGTCCTGCAGCATTGCTAAATTTTAAGTCACCCAGAAAACAAAATAGATCGGTGAAAGTGAGAGAGACATCAACTATGTCTTGCCTGGCTTCGATACGATGTTTCTTCGTAGTCAAAGGAACATCCTGGAGGTCTGAAATGCCTACCCTTTTGGGTAACTGCACAATCCAATAATCTAATTGAAATGAAGCTACAGTCTCTAATGAACTCTGTCAGATTAGATGGGAAGAGGATGAAGTGTTCCTCTTCCACCAGGGAAAAATTATTGCGCTTGAAATACATATTAGAATTTTTTTTTTAAGTAAGTGTTGTAGGATTCAATTACTTCTACTTCTGTAGAGAAACACAATGTTTAAAAGCAGGAAGCCCTGAAAACAATCCCTCAGATGCATTACTTAGCTTGAAAACCCAAGACAGAAGCTACCTGATCCTTGCAGCCTTCAGTGGATCAGTATTCATCAGTGAGCATGGGCTGTTACCAGGATTCACGGCTGCCGCAGAGCTCTTGTAACTCACAGCAAAGCAGTCAATGGTACTGTGAGATCTCACAGAATATCTGCATTTAAAAGGTACAGTGTGATTCACTTAAAAGATAAAATGTGTTTCATTTTTAAGTGTTAGATGATTGAAAAGCAAGGTTTTAATTTAAAACATCCCTTTATCTGAATGACCTATCAAAAATGCTGATTACAGGCCAAGAACAATAGGGTAACAGCAAGATCACTCCGTGCATGGAATTGCATCCTATTCCACCTCCTTTAACCTCAACAAGCTTGTAAAGAAACAGAATTATTTGGGCTGTTTTCATATAGAAAGACTACCATTCTTTGACTAAGCTGTTAAAGTCGTCTCTCCTCCTTTTCTCCCCTCCCCCTCTCTTTTTTAGATGAAAGATGTTTTCTTCTTCCTATTTTTCTTGAGCGTGTGGCTCATTGCCTACGGTGTGACAACTCAAGCTCTACTTCATCCCAATGACAGCCGAGTGGAATGGATATTCAGAAGGGTGCTTTATCGTCCCTACCTTCAGATATTTGGCCAGATTCCACTGGATGAAATAGACAGTGAGGAAATTTCTTTACCCCTAACTTGGCCATTTTTGAATGCACACTTCTGGTTAGAGCATGGAATTCCTTCCCAGTGTTGCCTTTTTTTTTTTTTTTTTTTGCCTTTTTTTAAATCTTTGACCTGGAGGCCAAAGCTTTCACATTACTATGATATAAATAGTGTATTTGCAAAGAGATAATGTGCTTTGTGGAATTACATTAGAGCATAAGGGTTGGCCCTATTTAGACAAGCTCTCTGAAATACACAAGGATTTGCAGTTTTAAAGGCTGGCATACCTTCTTTCACTTCAATCCATTTCCATTCAGTTTTACCTAGACCCAGATAACCCTGTGTAAACTGAAATAACAGCATCTCCATACATTTTGGCAGTAGTTTAACGTGACAGTGTTAAAGCAGAACAGCTTTGCTCATAAGCAAACATTTATGTTTTAGAATAAATATACCTCTAGAGTGTTTATTGACTCTGGAGGTAAAGCTGCCCAAATCAAATAAACCTAGTAATTGCATATGTACAAGATTTCAAACAAAACAACATAAAAATAATCACATGAGACAGAAATACTTGGACATAAAAGTTCAAAGGCAACATTTCTGATAGGTAAAGTGGTAAAATACAGAACAGGTCATCTCCCAAAAAAGTCTGAAGTGGTACTACAGCATTTAGTCAGAGGAACAGTGCTAAATGTCAGTGGCAGTGTTGAAGTAGGCTTCAAACTTGAGGTAATACAGGTGGAACCAAAAAATCCCATAGACAGAGCAAACCAGTAAGCATTCTTTCACATTCACTCTGCTTAATAAGAAAAAGTGTATGCCTCAGAAAAGCCAAAAAAAGTCTGCATGAGACAAGAAAGCAGGGGTGTGATTGATCTCACTTAACTTTAAATGGCTGCTGTGTAAGCAGGCACAGCACAACCAGTCGTTCTTATTTCCATTAAAGTAATTGCAGAGAAACAAATATTTCTGGAATAGGATTCATCCCATTTGGAAACAGGGCAGATCTAGCATTCCCTAGTCTCCACTGAGACTCCAAAGGGTGTCTTCACCTGGATAAATAACTGGTTAAAAGACAGAGAAAAAAAAAAGAACTAATTATACAGGCAGCTCCCAGAAGGGAGTCATTTGTCCTGGGGCCCTCTGGGGCTCATTCTGTTCAACATCTTTATGAAGCATATGGGAAAGGAGATGGGTAATGAGTGGGACACAATTTGCTGACGAAACTACATTACTGGGTAGTAATGACTAAAGCTGACCCCTAAGAGTTGCAGAGGACCCTCACGAGTGCTAAATCACCAAATTAAATTCATGTAGGTAAATATCAGGTAACGCACTTGGTGAAAGCAGTCCCAGCCGTGGTGAGCTTTGATACAAGTGCGTGCTCTAAGGAATATGATCATGGGGTTACCCATGGCAGTGGGGAAAAAAATTATTAGTAAAAAAATGGAGAACAAAAAGGTAAATATTGTCATGCTACTCTAAATTTGTGGATTTAATTCATAGCTGGAGACAGGATACAGACCTCTAGTTTGAAGCAGTAGAACCATTCTTACTAACCTCGACTGCGAGCTCAGATGTACAAAGTAGTTTAAATTTAGAATGAGGAACCCCATTCCCAGCTTTTACTGCATTTTCTCCTCTGACATGTGTACCAGCATAAGGACTGCAAAGACACAAGTATTCGGGAGCACACAACTGCTAAATACTCAAAGGTGGTTTGACTTTGGGAACTCAAAACTAGTCTAAAAAGGATAGAGCCTTGTCAATACAATCCCCCTTTGCTGAACGTTACTAAAAATCCAGCTGTGACAGCCATCTTGCCACTGAATGAGCAGCCAAGTTCTGGAGCTCTGCATTGTCCTACGGTTGCAAACCTCTTGCACATTAAAGCAATGTCTCTTCATGTACACAACATGATTACATTTTCACAAAATTAAAGATATTGGTTATTAGTTCACATAAATGATCTTTCAACTGCAAGAATTAGCTCAGTTGCTCAAGCAGTCAAAGAAGTGTCCTTTTAGGGTTAAGAGAGTCTTGTATTTATAGTCCTGTTAGTAGTCAACAAGGGCGGTACAAAAATACTACCACAATATTGGGTTTAAGCTTTTAACAACTGTAAAATATTCAGAACAAAATTATGCTGCTGTTTATATGCAGCCAAGATTAAATCTCATTTTAGTAATCAGTATCATTGTTGTCCTTGATTTGTGTAAAGGTACTAAACACAAGCATCCATCCATGACACTAGTTCTTAAAAAAAGACATGTTTAGAGATACTAATTCAGTTTTTATTTGCATTGAAATAGCTATGAAATACATTACTTCAAGCCTCAGGAACAATTTGTAATTCTTGCCATTCTTTGTTGAAAGTCAGAGATTTTGCTCACCAAAAGGCAAAGCTTTTGTCTCCACTCTAAGAACTAGGATTTGTCAAAACTATTCTTTTATTCTATCTTCCTTTGCAGCATCACGAATGTATCCCAGGAACTGCACGTTTAATCCACTGCAGATTCTGCAAGAGAACTCGCCATCATGTCCTAATAGCTATGCCAACTGGCTCGTCATACTCCTGTTGGTCATCTTCCTACTGGTCACGAACGTTCTCCTTATGAACCTCCTGATTGCTATGTTCAGGTAAGAGCAATTTCAGTAAGTATCAAGACAGAGGCTGCAAAGGTTTAACTGAATGCCCACATTTACTACATTGCTGTTGGCTATTCATTTTGGAATACACTGGTAGTTTTCCTAATGAATATTAGTTGGGGATTGATAGGTAGACTTCTGTCATCAGATAGTTCTTAAGTTGTCATCGTCCTTACTCTAGCCACATCAAAGACAAGAAGAAAATAAGCCTCTTTTACTGCTAAAAATTCAATTAAACATGCATAGAATGGTCTGGATGCCTGGCTGTGCTGCAGCACAAGTCTGCAGGTGCAAAGCAGCTGTGAACTTGGCAGACTTAACAGCGGATAATCTGCACATAGAGGAAATGCTTGATGTCAACACGGCTAATAATGATTCATTTCATTGAAAACTGGTGTGGCATGTTTGCTGATCTTGCCTAAGTGAAGTGGAATTACCTTTCTTTTAAAAAAAATCCTAGCATATTTCTTAACATTTGAAGACTGCAACTGCAATTATTTTAATATCTAAGAATCTGCACAAACTTTGTATTAAATTAACACTACTTGCTGAGCTTGCAGTTCCTTTTATAAAGTAAAAGTGGGACTAAATTTTGTAACAAAAAGCTTTAGCTTGTTGTGGTAAAAGGAGTTCTATCCTTTTTTTCTCCGAATTACAGTTACACTTTTCAAGTTGTTCACGGCAATGCAGACATCTTCTGGAAAATTCAGCGCTACAACCTCATTGTTGAATACCATGGCCGGCCTGCCTTGGCACCACCATTTATCGTTATTAACCACATAACTCTGGTTCTCAGAAGAATCTTCAACAAAATGGAACACAAAAAAGAACTGGGTGAGCTGTTAACAAACATCTAGCAACTGCAACTCTCCTAGGACATGCTGCATAGCCAAAACAGAAAAGCAATTAAAATTTCCATAAGCTGAGTCACAGTTTATTTTTAACAAAGAGTGTGAGGAGAGCAGAAATGAAAACTTGAGGCTTATAATATATCCTCTACTATAAACAGTTTCCCACAAAGCATTTCTTTATGCACCACAGTTATTACAGCAAAGGTGTCAATATAAAACCGGTTAAAGGGATTTGATTTCTGAAGTGGTAACAATGGATAGGTTTAATGAATAATTATTTCATTTGCTCCTGAATTTTAGTAATTATTAAGTATGGACAACCCTAAAAACATATACCAAGTCTAAAAATCTGCTAGGATTAGTGAAATTTCCCAATACGGAGACATGGAGAGAGAGTGAGCACACCCAGAGAAATGGTGGTCCCTTAAAAGTTATCATTAAAAAGGCAGATGAAGTTCAGCTAATTACAGAAGGCATTTGGGGGCTTTCTATTGGCCCATCTGGTTTAATAGTGTTTGATAAACCTATTTATTCCTCATGCTGAGACCCATAATGGGCTTTAAAGCAGAACTGTTGTCAGTCTGGACCAATTCAGAGCCCTTTGGCTAAGCTCCCTTTCAGACACACTCCTGCCTATCAAAGCGTACTGCTGAAGATTCTTCAAAAAAAAATGTCCCCTAAGAAGGCAAGTACCTGACTGCTCAGCTATAGATTCAGTAGTGTTTGCAGCAAGCCAGCCCTTCTACCGGTCTTTAGGAAGATACAACACTATTATGTTACCTTCAAAATCTGTGTGTGAAACTGAGGTCTGTTGTTGGCTGGGACCCTTGACAACAACAACAAGAACAGGCTTCGTACTTCAAGGTGGAGGGATTTATTCACAGTTTGTCCTTCCTGTTTATAATTGTTCTAATAAAGAAGCTTAGATGATAAGTGCATCTGCACATAAAGCTCTGCTCATTAAGTACTTTGGGGCTAAAATATGTCAAAAGTCCAATAAGGTTGTAAATGAGTTTAAATGGAACCACAGAAATTAGTCCTTGCTGTTCTTTAGAAAACTCAGGAGTCACATCCAACGGCAAAAGTGTCTATTGCCTTCCATCACAAGGAAAAAAAAAATAGAAGATACTTATTTTACACTGCATTTTCGTAACATGACACTCCTGCAATAGCAAAGGGCCTGCACTGGCAAGACTTCATTTTTCTTTAGCATAGTAGCTTCCCTTTACTGGTATAAGAGAAAACAGAGTAAAATACAATTTTTTTTTTTCCTACAGAAAGAGATCTTCCGGTTGGCCTAGATCAAAAAATCATAACGTGGGAGCTGGTGCAAAAGGAAAATTATCTTGTAAACCTTGAACAAGAAAGGAAAGAAAGCAATGAAGAAAGGCTGAAGGCCACATCTAATAAGTATGTCATTCTGACCCACAATAAGTGTACCTTGCAAGTCCCCAGCTTGGAATAAGATAAACATTCAGGTGCTTGTAAAGCTTATACGAGCAGTCCAGCTAGAATGCAGTTAGGAAACACATGAAAAAATGTGAGAAGCCAGCACCACCACAATATTAGAAGAGTTTTTGGCACTCTTGAAGTATGTGCGATTACAGATCTGTAAGCTCCAGCCAAATCTGCAGTCAAGCTCAGTGAGAATCATATTCACAAAGAAATAGTTCCTTTGCTATACTGCAGTGTATGTAATTCCATCCCCTGTAGGAATACAACATAGACTTTTGAGTTAGACTTTTGAATGGAAGTTTAAGATACCTTGAATTACCCCCAGCCCACAGATGCAGAACAACTATTTACAGCTTTATGGGATGAGACTACAGACTTCCACAAGAAATTAATGATATTGGCTCTAAAATTGTACTTAATTAACTGAGTCTCCATTTAAGTACTTCTCTAAAATACCTCCCCACTAGGGACATCACTGAAATTGGTTTATTATTCCAAAGAAAAAAAGTTCTAAATTATTATTCAGAGGTTTACTCCTTTAAGTGAGACACAAAGTAGTTATATGCAGGGAAAACAGAAACATCTAAGGCAATACTGAAAGCCAGGCAGCAAAGCATTCTTTAAAGAAGCTTATAACACCTGTTTCAGCTGTTTCCTCTTATGATAAAACAGATTTCAAATAGAGGCACAATGGGTGTGAACATTATAATAAGAAAGTTCCATGGAAATGTTCTCCTGCTGTTTTCTTTCTGTGCTGTCTTTCAGAACAAACCTCCATCTGTCTAACTTGTAGAATAGCTGGAGACCAGAACAGTGTACTTGAGTGTGTTCTTGGAACACAATCTTCTCCCTCTAACTTATGTAGACTCTTAATTCATAATAATTTAGAAGTTACTGCTTGGAGGGGAAAAGTAGGAATCAGTCTGGCTTCACAGAATTTCAAGTAAAGCAGAGCCAGAAAGACTGGAAAAGGCTCAGGTGAACACCACTAACCCCATAGCTTTTTAACTTTGCTCTTAGGTGGGAGCAGTGTGTACTTGAAATCTTATTAAACCCTCAGAAAGGGATTCTTTGAACTTTGCATTGAACCAGTCCCAAAATGCATCCGACCCACTCGGCAGCAGCTTTCTCACAGAGACCTGGATGGAACGCGACCCATTAGGAGGGAAACTGCAACGGTAGTTAGGACGAAGCAGAGAGGGATTTGAGGAGCCTGTGGGGAATCAGAGGCTAAGAATAAGGAACCGATGGGTGAAGAGGCGAAGGATGCAGAAAGCACGTGGACAGTACAGCGATTTGGAGACACTCTATGGAAGTTCTCTACACAGTCCTTTGGGCTGCATGGGAAAAGGGGTTTGAGCGTCAAGCCGATTTCCAAAAATGACACCTCCTCTAAATTTTACGTGTCTCATCTCCCCTGCCTTACTGGACAATGTGGTGGCCTCAGTTCTCACACCAGGTTCAGTTTGCATTTGGCCCAGGTGGGACATAAGTGGCTGGAGAGACAGAGCTGGACTTAAGGCTCCTTTCTGCTGTCCTTGATTCCCACAGCAGTGGGGACGGTGGCCCTCACCAGGAGCTGAACGGCTGCTGGAATCTGTGCGAGTTTATGAGTCCCTGGGCAACAGGTGCACGAGCGTCCCCGAAATGCCGCTCTGCTCAAGGAATACTTGCAGGAACACCTCAAAAGGACAGAACTTTTAGGGGGCTCTGGGATGTTGCAGCAGCATGGAACTGTCAGGAAGGGGCCATGGCTCCAGTAGGTTGCGTGGAGTTTGTGGTTTAGGATTTCTTCTGAGGCCTTTCCTTTTTGCTCAGTGTGTCTGGTTTTGTTTCCACAGGGTGGATAATTTGTCTAAATATTTTAGTGGATTGAAGGAACAAGAAAAGCGGTTTAAGGTTATGGAAGCCCAGGTAAATAATAGTTTTATAAGCATTTCTATCAGCTTTAGGATTTCACCATGTTTCTCTCATTTAATGGTGGTTTGGCAGACCCTATTTAGGGATAAAGGGATGGAGAAATGGATCTGTATTATGGTTTCACTTTCCTTAATGTTTTCTCTCTGGTGATACACACACATAACCAACCATTTTTGACCTCTGGGAGAAAGGGGAATACAGCATTTCTTGCTCTCTTTGACAGTCTACTTGAGAAGTGTTTATTTCCTTCGTTAAGGACTCTTCTGGAACCAAACACTTCATCTTCTCCCCTCCATTCTCTTCCTTCTCTCAAACTTTTCATTCTTTAAAACTTTGAAAATATCAGTCAACTTTGAAAATAGTTTGAAACCTGTATTCTGTCTGATCTGACCTAGACTAATCTTCTTGGACATCAGTTTTTCTAGTTTTCTTACATACCAAATACCAACTTCTCAAAGGGAAACATCTAACACAAAAATGTGAAACACAAATAATAGAAGGAAACACTGTCTTGAGCTTGTGATGACAAACCCTTGAAATATAAACAAACATTTTTTAAACAGTCTGAAAATGCCCAGCATTACCATGTGCTATGTAGCACAAGTTTCCTTTGTCCCTAGAATTCTCCAGTGTAATTTTGGCCTCGCTGAAAGTTCCTTATCTTAATGCTCCCATTGCAGTTTCCCTCCCCTTTCTTACCCATTTTATGGCTTCCTGAAAAAAGTCGTGCTATCCAACAATGTTGACACCAAATACAGGTCCAACAGGAATACACAAAAAAAATGCTTTAATAAGTTTGTGTCAGCTTGAGATAATGCAATATTCTCACAAAAAGGGGAAGGTATTTAATATGAATGTTCCTCCAAGACAGTTCAACTATTCCTTTTTTAAAAAAAATTAAAATTTATGTGGTATCTCTGATGCTGCTTCAGTCTGCTGCCTAGATTATCTTTCTTGCAAATTTAAGAATGGATAAAGTAATACAAAAATCAGCTGATGTAGAAATCACTACCTCTTTTGTAGATTTGCTACTGTACAGCTGTTATCTCCTCAATGGCAGAGGTTTTAACCAAAACCAACCTCTTGTGCAACAAACCAGCTCCAAACTATACGTGTAAGTATTGAAAACAACCATGGAAAACCTGATTAATACAGATGAACAATTTAGTACAAGGGAAAAAAAACATGGAAAAGAACCACATAAGGAGGTACCTAGAGGTAATGGGAGTATAAACAAGGAACAGAATATTCATACTTCAGAATGAAAAAATTACCTTCTGGAAAATATATTTAAAAGCTTTGGGGAAAGGAGGAAAGGGCTATTGCTTAGTGCGAGTTAGGGTGATCTCACCCAACTTTAAGCATGTAAGTAAGTACCTGTTTGCCACAGGGTTTCTTGGGAGGATTGTCTGGGGGTTTCTTGAGTCAATGAGAGAGTACTAGCAAAATATTTAATATGGGTAACAATAATCATTAACAATAAAAATAAAAATTGAGCAAGCTTCCTACTTTGTTTTAATCAACACAGCTCATTTGCCTTCAGAGCTGTAACTATTTCTGTTGGTTAAGAATCTTGTCCTCCAAAACAGGGCTCCACTGTTTGGAGTTTAAAACATTAGAGACAGAAACAGACTGTTTCTCAGCCACCGCAGGATATCCAACACAATAAAGATTTTGGATATTCCTCTCAGTGATCTATTTCAGTATCTACCTGTTACTATCTATTACACAAAAACCCCTCCAAAACCCATCAACTGAACATATACACTCTACGTGGGAAAAAGAAGTAGCTGGAAACTCGACAAGTTTGTCCTGGCATGACAAGACCTCAAGTCGCTCAGACCCGAACTAACCTCAAACTTAATTTTGTTAGAATCTTCTAAAACACATATGTAAATTGCTTCATTACCGACATTCCAGTAAGAAAAGCATCCTGTAGCATGTTCCCCAGACCTTTTAAAACTGTAATTGCATAAAAATCAGAAACTTAAATCGCTGAAAAATAAAGAAGCCTGGTTTTATCATTTACTGCGCAAATGCAAAGCAATAGAATCTACAATATCTTTTTATTGTGGATTATTTCCAACATTTTAAAGTTTTTAAGCAATTACTGTTATGTGCCCCTTGTCCTAAGGCTTTTAACCAAGCAAATGGCTTTTACAATCCTATTAGGTGTGATGAATGCCAACCCAGAAGTGCCTTTGCCAGAAAGAAGTGAAAGAGAAGAGCGTGCAGATCAGTCCGAGCCTGACATCACATACATTGATAATTAACTATTATTCTCATTTCTTCAGATTAAACCTTTTGTCCTACTGAAGTAAAATCCTAATCTCACAAAGGGCCAAAGCCCAGCTCTCGGTGCCTTTATGCCAGGCACTGTCAATGTCTGACACTACTGAGGATTTCTTGGTCTGCCTTCTTCAATTTCTTGGCCTTCCTTCCCTCCTGCTCCTGCATTACTTGGTCCTTTCTCCAAAACTCCATCCCGCAAATCGCACTAAAAACTTTCTCCTCCAGAAAGACTCAGGCACCTTGGTTTCTAAATACGATCTGCCTTCTGTTCTCCAGATACCCCACCCTCAGTCCTTCGTCGTCATTGCTAATTTCCACCTTTCTCTGTTCAAGGGAGTCTTCCTCTTGAAGAGTGATCAGTTACGCACTGAACACAAGCCACTGCCTTGGCCGAGAAAGCAAGCTCCTATTTGTGAGCTGCTTAGAAAGGAAATCAAGAAATAGTTTCCACAGGAAAGGGCCTGAGATAGTGAACTATTCCAATCCATAGCA